CGCGGGTTCGGCTCAGAGTGACAGGCGGCCTCCCACCGCGCTGTGTCGGCTGCACAGCCATCACCACCATCTGATCTCAGGACAATCCTTTCGGCTCAAACAGTGGAGCCCTGTGTTGCGCTGGAGGCTGAACGTCCCTCCCCACCATGTTTCTAAAGCCAGTCGCACCTCCCCTCCGGGCGGGGGTTCTAATCCGCCCCCGACAGGCAGGACCAGTCCCACTTGTGTGCAGGCTCAGCGGGAGCGGGTCAGCACAAAACTCCTGGTCCTGGCGGGCAGGTCCCCAGCAGGCGGGGCTGGGGGACGGGGACGTGAGGAGCCCCAGCGAGGACAGTCCCAGCGGCGGAAAGCCACCCTTTCCCTGGATCCCTGTGGTCCCGGGACAGACCCGAGAGGTCGGAGCCGCGGTGCCGGAGCCCCTGTCCTCCAGCAGCGCCTGCAGGCGGGAAGGTCAGGGACGCGTACAGCTCGGCTGCGCTGTGGGACCTGCTGTTATGAAACGGTCCACATCCCTTTCTTCATACCTGATCCTGGTCATTTAGTTCCTCTTTTTCTTCCTGATTAAAGTTTGATAACATTTATTGATCTTATTCCATAAACATTTGATTTTGAAACCAGACAATCAGTGGGTCTGGGCTGCCTGTCACTTGAGCAGAGACAGGGCTGAGTCCCGTGTGAGCGCGCATTCCGATCCCTCAACAGGTCAGCCAGACCTCTGCTCTGCCTTCCCAAGAAGCCAGTGCTGTGGGCACAGGGACAAAGATGACCCGAGGAAGCAGAATTGCAGGCAGAGGAAGCAGGCCAGGTGAACCGGTTATGGGGTACAAGCCATGGGAGGGGACGGGGGGGGGGGGGAGGGCAAAAAGAGACACCTCCAGGCCTCATCATCTCAGGAATGAGGTTGTCCATCTCCAAAGAGGACGGGCAGGCTCGGGGCGGACCCTAACACAAATCCTAACCCTAAACCTAACCCTATCCTGATTCACAACCGTAACCCTAAACCAAAAACCTAACCCTAACCCTATCCTGATTCATACCCCTAACCCTAACCCTAACCCTAACCCTATCCCTAACCCTAACCCTAACCCTAACCCTATCCCTAACCCTAACCCTAACCCTAACCCTATCCCTAACCCTAACCCTAACCCTAACCCTATCCCTAACCCTAACCCTAACCCTAACCCTATCCCTAACCCTAACCCTAACCCTAACCCTATCCCTAACCCTAACCCTAACCCTAACCCTATCCCTAACCCTAACCCTAACCCTAACCCTATCCCTAACCCTAACCCTAACCCTAACCCTATCCCTAACCCTAACCCTAACCCTAACCCTATCCCTAACCCTAACCCTAACCCTAACCCTATCCCTAACCCTAACCCTAACCCTAACCCTATCCCTAACCCTAACCCTAACCCTAACCCTATCCCTAACCCTAACCCTAACCCTAACCCTATCCCTAACCCTAACCCTAACCCTAACCCTATCCCTAACCCTAACCCTAACCCTAACCCTATCCCTAACCCTAACCCTAACCCTAACCCTATCCCTAACCCTAACCCTAACCCTAACCCTATCCCTAACCCTAACCCTAACCCTAACCCTATCCCTAACCCTAACCCTAACCCTAACCCTATCCCTAACCCTAACCCTAACCCTAACCCTATCCCTAACCCTAACCCTAACCCTAACCCTATCCCTAACCCTAACCCTAACCCTAACCCTATCCCTAACCCTAACCCTAACCCTAACCCTATCCCTAACCCTAACCCTAACCCTAACCCTATCCCTAACCCTAACCCTAACCCTAACCCTATCCCTAACCCTAACCCTAACCCTAACCCTATCCCTAACCCTAACCCTAACCCTAACCCTATCCCTAACCCTAACCCTAACCCTAACCCTATCCCTAACCCTAACCCTAACCCTAACCCTATCCCTAACCCTAACCCTAACCCTAACCCTATCCCTAACCCTAACCCTAACCCTAACCCTATCCCTAACCCTAACCCTAACCCTAACCCTATCCCTAACCCTAACCCTAACCCTAACCCTATCCCTAACCCTAACCCTAACCCTAACCCTATCCCTAACCCTAACCCTAACCCTAACCCTATCCCTAACCCTAACCCTAACCCTAACCCTATCCCTAACCCTAACCCTAACCCTAACCCTATCCCTAACCCTAACCCTAACCCTAACCCTATCCCTAACCCTAACCCTAACCCTAACCCTATCCCTAACCCTAACCCTAACCCTAACCCTATCCCTAACCCTAACCCTAACCCTAACCCTATCCCTAACCCTAACCCTAACCCTAACCCTATCCCTAACCCTAACCCTAACCCTAACCCTATCCCTAACCCTAACCCTAACCCTAACCCTATCCCTAACCCTAACCCTAACCCTAACCCTATCCCTAACCCTAACCCTAACCCTAACCCTATCCCTAACCCTAACCCTAACCCTAACCCTATCCCTAACCCTAACCCTAACCCTAACCCTATCCCTAACCCTAACCCTAACCCTAACCCTATCCCTAACCCTAACCCTAACCCTAACCCTATCCCTAACCCTAACCCTAACCCTAACCCTATCCCTAACCCTAACCCTAACCCTAACCCTATCCCTAACCCTAACCCTAACCCTAACCCTATCCCTAACCCTAACCCTAACCCTAACCCTATCCCTAACCCTAACCCTAACCCTAACCCTATCCCTAACCCTAACCCTAACCCTAACCCTATCCCTAACCCTAACCCTAACCCTAACCCTATCCCTAACCCTAACCCTAACCCTAACCCTATCCCTAACCCTAACCCTAACCCTAACCCTATCCCTAACCCTAACCCTAACCCTAACCCTATCCCTAACCCTAACCCTAACCCTAACCCTATCCCTAACCCTAACCCTAACCCTAACCCTATCCCTAACCCTAACCCTAACCCTAACCCTATCCCTAACCCTAACCCTAACCCTAACCCTATCCCTAACCCTAACCCTAACCCTAACCCTATCCCTAACCCTAACCCTAACCCTAACCCTATCCCTAACCCTAACCCTAACCCTAACCCTATCCCTAACCCTAACCCTAACCCTAACCCTAACCTGAACCTGAACCCTAACCCTAACCCTATCCTGATTCATAATACTAAACCTAACCCTAACCCTAACCCTAACCCTATCC